GGGTCTTGTTCTCCTGATATTTTTAATCTCCACTTGTGGTGTCTCTTCATAGCATTGGAAACCCTGAGACAATTGCTATAGCAGATTTTGCAGGCAGGACAGCATTATAGATCAAACACGTTGTTCTGTCAATAGTTGGAGACTTCTTTAGGATTGCCGTCATATATTTTAGGAAGCTTCCACTGCACTGGACTTTCAAGACACCCTTCAAGTGCCCTTCAGTTCTGTCAGTCTCTCCCTGCATTTCCTCCTTCAAACCCATCTCCCCTCTCCCTCCTCACCTGACTTTTCTATTCCTGTCTCTCACTCCTCATCCACCCTTAAAAATCTATTCTATTTACACCCTTCAGGGAAATCCATGTGTCATTCCTTGTACCTTCCTATACACCTGACATCTCCAGGACTATGGATTGTAGTTTTATCATAATTTATTTAATGGCCAATATCCATATAAGGGTATTACATATTTATTTTTCCTGGGTCTGGCTTACCTCACTCAGTGTGATATATCCTAGTTGCATCCATTTGCCTTCAGATTTAATGGTGCTTTTTTAACAACCGAGTAATATTCCATTGTGTTAATCGACCATATTTTCTTTATCCTTTCTTCTGTTGAGGAACATCTAGGTTGTCTCCAGTTTCTATCTATTATGAATAGAGCAGCAGTGAACATGGTTGAGCAAATGTCTTCATGGTAGCATGAAGTGGATGAAGTACCCATTAGGTATATGCCCAAGAATAGTATATTAGCTTTTGAGGTAGATCAATTTGCACCATTCTGAATAACTACCATACTGTTTTTCCTGGTGACAGCACAAGTTTGCATTCTCACGAGCAATGAAATGGTGTTCCCCTTATTCCACATCCTTGCATTAACTGTCCCTTGTGTTCTTGATCTTAGCCTTCTGGGAGGTATAAGAAGGAATCTTAAAGTAGAATTTAGTCTGTTACTATGCATCATTTAATTGATGAGTTTATTCTGTTTACATTTGTGTGCATTTTTGAAAAAAATGTTGGCTGTATCCTCTTGTTTGTTTTTTTTTCTCATTGGTTGGATTATTATTTTTTCTTTTCTTTCTGTCCTGTCAACATCAGGTATTTTCTGTGCTTCTGAATTGTATGAGTTAATCCTAATCTTCTCTTTTCATCTGTCCATTATTTACTTTTTTTCTTGTGGGTGACAGTGACTTTCTTCTCAATCCACGTAGTGACTTCTATATTGATGGTTTGGTTGCTATGTATCACCTTAGTTAGTGTTTGTCTTGAAATATTTTTATTTCTCTAATTATAAGCCACGATTTTACTGAGTACAGGAATCTTAGTTGACATTTTTTTTTCTTTTCTAGGCTTGGACTATATCATGCTTTCCTGGCTTTGTTTTATCTGAAACATTCGCCTGTTTCTGCTTTTGCATATGTGTTAGCCTATTCCTGTAGTGGCTTTTAATATCATGGTTTTGCATTGCTTTTGCAGAGGAAAAATGATGTGAATTTAATTTGCATCTTTGGTAAGTTTTGGACAGTCATACTGGAAGACTGATTGGAGGAAAGTGGCTTACAGTTGCTTTGAGAGTTAAGGGCATTGATATTAATGAAATTGAGAGATAATAAGAAAGGACTCAAAGAGAGGTAAATAATGAGAAGAACGTATGGCTTAAATAAATAAGAAAGAGCTGAGAAAATATTCCAAAGTAGGTGAAAAGAAATGGCAGCCTACTTGCCTTGTCCAATGAGGTGATAGTTAAAACACAACTGAGCATTTAAAGTACAAAAACATAAATATTCAAAATATGTAAGAATAGAAAACTGAGTACAACTTGTCCCTGCCAGTATTTCTTTCTTATTGTGACAATTGTTTCTTTCTTCTCCAAATTCTTATTAGTATCCATTTCCACAGGAGTAGGGAGAGTTCCTATATAGTTAGCTCAGTTATGTCAGACTGCCCTGGGTAAGGAAGATATCAAGTTATCTGTGACAAACATCTCTTTTCTGCCATAACTCCCTCATCTGAGGTGGTACACCAGTGAACCCCAACCCTGGCTCTGGTGTTGGGGGATGATTCTTTTACTTTCAGGGCTTTGTGTGGCTGAAGAACAAAGATGTGAGTCAAATAACCTGCTGTTACTTGTCTTCATCAGAATACTGGACAAAGTCTTATAGCTTCGTCTTTGTTCATCCAAGCAGTGGTAGAGGAGGGAGGTTTCCCTCTCAAGGAATATCTATTAGTCTCATCTTTAGGCTTGTGCCACACATCTGCTACTATTTCACTGCAATATTTCAACAAGCTTCCCTTTCTTCATGCTGCCTTAAGTTTCTCTCTCTCTCTCTCTCTCTCTCTCTCTCTCTCTCTCTGTGTGTGTGTGTGTATGTGTGTGTGTGTGTGTGTGTGTGTGTGTGTGTTCTGACAGCCCTTTCCTAGTTCTCAGCCATGAAAGCACTTCCCTGTTAACAAAGTTTGATTTCAGCAGAAGCAGCATACTGCAGCTGGACACTTCTGACTTGAAGAAATCTCCACTCAGGCTGCTGGTATTATCTTCACCTCTCATAGGATAAATAATAGAATCTGTTGTTTGCATCTGAACGTTTCCCACTTGATTGTATAGACATATCCTGGAGTTTCCATCACACCTGGAGCTCCAGATATTAGCTTTGGAATTCAACATTTCTATTGTCTTAGATATTAGTTGAATTCCCATATGTTCTTATTTTAGTTTTCTACATTTTGAGTAGCCCATAACTTATGGTTCTAAATATTTTGTAACCCCACTACCTTTCCATAAGTGTTTCTTTTTCCTTTCCTTTTTTTCTTCAAAAAGGCACTTTTTACTATTTTATGTCTAAGTAGCAATTTTAAATGTTTTAAGATGGACAAGTTAGTTTGAAAAGTGTTCTGAAACTCCTAGGTAACAGGGCTTATTTTTATTACACTGCTATTTATTGAATGCCAGTTTTTTTTGTATTGTGGTGAAATGTGTTTTTTCTATTTTATACTCCTTGTAGCTTTTCTCTTTGTACTTTAATTGTTGTGATTACACCAGGGAACCATCTACAGCTATTTGTAAGTTTGATTTATAGCAACAATGTAAAAGCTACTTACATCATTCAGGTCCTCTCTGCTTATATTTCATTACTGTTAACTAAGGAATTGCAAGAACTTCATGTTTTATGGTTATATTTCTGTCAAGTTAGTCAAAAATGTGTAATAAGTTTTGCAATAGATTGTACTGTATTATCTGGAGCATTAAAATTGTCACTGTTTTGTTTTATTGTACATTATCTGCTTCATGAATATAAATGTATGATCTCTAAACAAGTAATACCTTTTGTCTATACTTTTTAGTTGCAATTTATTTTTCTCCAAATTGTTTATGCTTGTACCTTAAAAATAAACTTTGGGTATGGGGAGATGGCTCAGTGGGTAAGTATGCTTTCTGTATAAATAAGAGGTTCTGAGTTTGCATAACCAGCCTTCACATAAAAAGTCAGGTATGGTTGTAAGAAACGGTAACCCCAGCATTGTCCAGAGGTCCCGGCGATGGGGTGTGAGGGTAGACTGAGATGGGTAGATGCTGGCCATTCATTAGTTAACCAATCTAGCCAAAATGGCTCTTTAGGCTCTTTGACAGACACTGCCACAATGCAATAAGGCAGAGAATGAAAGAGGGAGACGTGTTGTCTGCCTCTTGACTCAGCATATATGTGTAGAGAGATGCAAACTCAAATGCATGTGATACACATACACATACACACACATACACACACACACATACACACACATTACCATTATTCAAGATCTCCTTCAGGTATCTTTCCTAGCTCTCCTTCTTATGTGTGATTCCTCTCTGTATGCTGTGAATACCATTGGTTAATAAAGAAACTGTCTTAGGCCTGAGCAATGCAGAATACGGTAGGTGGGGAAAAGTAAAGTGAATGCTGGGAGAAAGAAGGTAGAGTCAAAGGAAGCCATATAGCCCAGATAAAGGCAGAGGCTGAAACTTTACCTGGTAAGCCACAGCCACGTGACGATACACAAATTACTAGAAATGGGTTAAATTAAGGTTTAAGAGTTAGCCAATAAGAAGCTAGAGCTAATGGGCCAAGCAGTGATTTAATTAATATAGTTTCTATGTGATTATCTCAGTTCTAGGTTGCCAGGTTAAACAAGCAGCTTCCTACAACATCCTTCTTAATCCCTAAATTAAATATCAGTGTATGTATTGTTATAGTCACTGCTTCCTTCCCTTTCCTCCTTCCTTTGTTCCTAACTTTACTTATCATTTTCTTTGTCAGTTCATATTAGCTCACCTCTGTAATGAAAACGTGACACAATAGTGACTTACAAATGCTCTTTTTTTTTTCTGTCACATTCTTTGTGAGTGTTGGGAGGAAAGAACAAAGTGGATTATTGATAACTTTCAGGCATTTCCAGGGATGTTTTATTTGCACCTTTCTGGTATTTTCTTATGACTTCCTTCCTGGAGCCCTTTTATTATATGTCTAAGCTACCATTTACATGAGGGAGGAGGGGCAGAAGAGAGTCCCTTCCCAGAAGAGTTACCCCTCTGATGTTATTTGTGTTGTAGTCCAGCATTTTGAAGTTTTCACCTACATCTTCTTAACCATAATTTGTCACCTGCAAAGACATTTAGGAAATCTTGATTTTATTATCTCAGCTAAAACTTATCAGGCACTATTGAGTACCAGCTCAGCACTCCCTCAGGGTTCAGAATAGGACTTTTTCAACAAGTGAAAACTGACTTGGGAACAGGATCTGAAGGGTAAAACAAACTGACTGACTTAGGTACATTTTTATTGCCTGATTCTTTATTCCTTGGGAAAGATGCAAAGAAAAGGGGGGGGGGGGAGAAGAAGAAGCATAAAGACAAAGGGCATAAGGGTAAAAAAAGGTGATCTCCACAAAACTTTCAGTTTTTATAGGCATACAGACAAGTTAACAATACCATAGGCAGTAACAATACTATCAATTATGCATTTTCATAGGGTCACAGGAAACCGGTGGATCTGGATCTGGCAAAGAGGTACCTTATGTCTCAGAGGGGGCATGGCCATGAAGTTCTCCTGCAACTAAGAACACAGCATTGGTAGCTATAATTGTTATTCTTTTGGTTCCTGCCCTAGCCACGCCCACTCCTTTTTTACCCCTGTTCTCTCCTGGTGTACACATGGGGCTTTGCCTCCTCCTCCTCCTCCTCCTCCTCCTCCTCCTCCTCCTCTTCCTCCTCCTCCTTCTTCTTCTTCTCTCTCTCTCTCTCTCTCTCTCTCTCTCTCTCCCTCTTTCTCTCTCTCTCTCCCTTAATAAATACTTATGGCTATTTCCTGTGTCTATGGTGCGTGCCCTCCCGCTGGTGGGAAACTGTAGCCGCTTGTCTCATGGTGGGCTCCGCCAGCCGGCCCACAAACATCTTAGAAACATCTTAGGAATAAGAATAATAACCTGCAGGTTTGATTTGTCTCAAAACCCAGCTGGTTGAGTTAAAAGGAATCTCTTGGGGGTGGGGCTGCTTTTGATTCCAGCAGGGTGCCCAGGAGAGAATATTTCTCTCTGCAGCTAGTTTTAGCAAACCAGGTTTTTTTCTTGCATGAACAGTTATTTTCTGGGACATTGAAATGTTAGTTGACACCAAGGTAAAGGGTAATACAGACTATTAGTAGCCTGTTAAGGCAGAGCAGAAGACCAGTAGATTACACCTTCTGAGTCTGCTGTAAGAGCAGACATATTACCTCCTGTATGAGGCTCCTTCCTTGTCAGTGACTACTGTAAATAAAGAAAGTCTGTGGGGGTCTATTTTTATGTAGATTTTGAGTGTGAGAACAAAGTTTTGACTGAATGAATTTTTTTCACACCTTGGCTTCATGATGTGGGGGCAAATATCTGGTTATCCTACAGGAAAAGTTAGGTTTATATACTGCTGGGATACTATAGAAGGAGGAAAATGCTATAATTTCACAAGATTTTTACAGAATTGACAGTGACTTTTCCAAAGGATAGGTGTGTCCATAGCTCTGTAAAATGAGTTAGTCCAAGGGGATGTGTATGAATACACTTCCTGTGGGTAGTCCAATAGATTTGTCAGCTGTACATTTACTGTATAATACTTGTGAACTCATCACAAGAAATGAAGAGTTTCATCCTGTTGTCGAAGGGCAGAATGTTTAAATCAGGCAATTATCAGCTCTGTGAGATAATACAAGCCCTTTTCATTTTCCCTTGTACTTTAGCTAGAGTTTGTATTGCTGTGGAGAGACACCCTGACCACGGTAGTTCTTAATAAGGAAAACATTTAATTGGATCTGGCTTACAATTTAGATGTGTCATTGTCATTGTCATGGCAGGAAGCACGATAGTACACAGGCAGTCGTGGTGCTGGAGAAGGAGCCACAGTACCACATCTGGATTGACAGGCAGCTGGAAGAGAGACTGAGCCAATGGGTTTGACTTAAGCTTCGGAAATCTGAAAACCCACCCCCAGTGACACACTTTCTCTAATAAGATCACAACTACTCTAACAAGGTCACACCTCCAAAAATGCCAATCCCTATGTGTCTATGGGGGCCTTTTCATTCAAGCCACCACACCCTGACTTTGTCACAAACTCAAATTTACCATTGCTTCAAGAACCAATTGTTGATACATATGTCAAACATGTACTGATACAGCTTACATCTGAGTTAGGTGGCATATTGGTCACCTTCCATTCTTGGGCACATCGTTTTGATTCTGAAGCTGAGACCGTATAACCATACCGCACCCATCCCAACCCCTGTCTGTGCACTGATGTTTCCCCAGTTTCCTTGAAGCCAGATGTACACATATGGAAGAGTTCTAAATGAAGCAATGACAAACTGTGTTTTGCTGTTTTGTTGACTCTTTTAATGCCAGAAGGTTTTTGAGTTTTGTTGTTGTTGTTGTTTTTAACCAATAGGTGTAGTTGGATTTGATAATAGCTTCTCCCCATTACATTAATGCTATATTTAATCATTGTTAATTCTACCTGTTCCAAAGAGCTACCAATTTTTTGTTGACAGAAATTTTTCCCAGTTTGGAGATAGTAATTGACAGAAAAATTTTGATTTCACATTTTGCAAGATTTATTTCCTAGCTACATGAATTAGGTTTCTGTTGCTTTGAATTAGTATCATGACCACGGTAAACAGTTGAAGGAAAAGTTTGTTTTGACTTACAGTTCCAGAGGGGTAAGTGTCCATCATGGTGGGGGAGCATGGCAGGAAATGGCAGGCACAGATGATATCTTACACATTCAAATGTGTATGAAGCAGAAACAATGAGCTTGAAGTTGTGTGAGGCTTTAACTATTGAAGCCTTCTGCTACTTTTATACTTCCTCCACCAAAGCCATACTTTCTTAATACCCACAAACAGTACCATCCACTGGGTACCAAGTATTCTAATATCTGAATCTATGAGTCACATTCTCATTCAAATCACTTTTATTGTTATTTTACCACAAATATATTAATTTTATGTAAGGTAATATTATTCAGGTACTAAATGAAAGTCAATAAATTAAAAACTTTTGACTTTAATATTTACATTTAAACATAACTTTTAAAAATGCATCTATGTCTTCAATGAATAAGGTGTCCAAATTTCTTTTCCTTCAAGAAACTAATTTTTCAAAGTAGAAGTAGATTTTTTTTTCAGTTAAACAACAACAGCAAGTTAGGGTGCTAGCTAGTCCTCTGTAGAAATAATGAAATAATGTCAGCAATATTATTATGTCAGTAATTGTAATTTAGCAATTTGAAATTTGTGTGTGTTCCATTCTTATTAATAAGGAAATTTCACAATCTCAGCAAAGAAGGAAACAGCCAATTCTGTTATTTTCCTTCTGATGAAGAACTTTTATTCAGGACTTTGGTGGGGAGAAATATAGTTTGATCTACATGTTCACTCATACTTTCAATTTGTACTTACTGATACATTCAGATCTTTTTTTTAGACTAAAAATGTTGACGGTCTTATTCACTTTTTTCTTTTGTTTTCTATCCTTAACCCTAACCCTAACTGTGATTCCTAACCTTGAGCCCTAGCACTAACTATAACTCTAGCCCTACCTAACTTTATTCACCTTTTAATCTCCTTTTTATCATTAAAAACTAATAACTAAGTTTGAAAATTTGATATAAAATTCTATAAATGATTGATTCAGTGACTATAATTTTATGTTCCTTAGATTGGCAGCATGGGTATTATCTAGGAACTTGTTAGACATGCAGGTAGTAAGAGCCAAATTATACATGGGGATTAATAAACTAGGAATGGGCAAACCTGTGTTTGAAGAAGCCAATAATTATAATGCACACATGGCAATACAACAACAACACATACAGAGAGAAGTAATCAGATTTAATAATTAGACATGATAGAAATATTCAGAGTATTATAGTTGTGCACTGTCTTAAATTATTAGAAAAACAACAAAGCCAGAAGTTCTGATTAGCCCACAAATCTTAATCCAGTTTGTTTGTGAACCTGAAGGAAAAACATGAAAATGTGAGGGGTAGTTTTCCTTGTTAGCAGGGACTGTTACAGGCAGCAGTCAGTGAAAAAGATGCTTTAGTAAAATGGTGTTAAGTGTATAATAGGAGTAAAGAAAAATGATGCTATCATTTGTTGCTTCATTTCTTAGTAATTTTATTTATTAATGTATTAATGGTAGCTATTAATTCTACCTATTATTTCCTTCCTTCCTTTTTTCCTTCCTTCCCTCCCTCTCTTTCTTTCTTTTTTTCTTTCTTAACCTGACTGCAGGTTTCTCCCTCTTCTGTCATTCCCTTCCCCATCTTCTCCTCCTAAATCTACTCCTCCTCTGTTTCTGTTCAGAAATGGGCAGGCCTCCAATGGGTATCAACAAAGTATGGCATATTAAGTAGTGGTAACACTAAGCGCTTCCCCTTGTATTTAGACTAGGACAGGCAATCCAGTAGGAGGAATAGGTTTTCAAGGGCCAGCTAAAGCATCAGGACTGCTCCTATTCCCACTGTTAGGAGTTCCACAAATAGACGAAGCTATATAGCTCTCACATATGTGTAGAAGGCTTAGATCAGTCCCATGCAGGCTCGTAGTTGACGGTTCAGATTCTGTGAGGTCCTGTGAGTCAGGTTAGTTGTTTCTATGAATTTTCTTGTGAAGTCCTTTAGCCCTTTGGTTCCTACAATCCTTCTTCTCATTCTTCAGCAGGATCCCTAAGCTTGGCCTAATGTTTGGCTGTGAATCTCTTCATCTATTTCTATCATCTACTGGATGATGGCTCTTTAATGATAATTAGAATAGTCACTTATCTGATCACAGGAGATGGCAAATTCAGGCTACATACCCAAAATTATTTGGCATCTTAGCTGGGGTCACCCTTGTAGATTTCTGGAGGTTTCCCTTGTATCCAGTGCTCCCAAAACACCCCCTTCCAGTCTTCTTTTTCAATACTCTCCTCTTTATTTACCTCCCAACCTGATCCCTCAAGTTCCCATCCCCACCTGCCCCCTGTCCATCCAGGAGATCACTTCAATTTTCCTTTCCCAAGGTGATCCAGGAACCCCTACCTTGGGTCCTTCTTGTTACCTGCCCTCTCTGAGTCTGTGGATTGTAGTGTGATTATTTTATTTTTATTATATAAAAATATAATAATATTATATATTATTACTTTACATTTAATATCCAATTATGAGTGAGTAAATACTATTTTTGCTTTTGGGTCTGAGGTACCTCACTCAGGATGATTGTTTTCTAGTTCCATTCATTTGCCTTCAAATTTCATAATCTAATTCTTTAGTAGTCAAGTAATAATCCATTGTATAAATGTGCCACATTTTCTTTATCCATTCTTTGACTGAGGGGCATCTAGGTTGCTTCCAGTTTCTGGCTATTACAAATAAAGTTTCTATAAATGTAGTTGAGGAAGTATCCTTGTAATATAGTTGAGCATCCTTTTATTGAACTATGATTTGAAAAGTATATAAGGGCTTTAAAACATAGCATCAATTCTTCAATAATTTATGTTG